CCTGCAGCAAAAGGTTGAAAAGTATATCAGCAATGATTTTGCTGAAACTAGATAATGGTTGCTTCTTCCCTGATACCTCAAATGCCAGATCAGCTATGTCCTATAACAGAGAAAGTAGCTTAACAAAACATGAGTTAAATGATCCCAATCTATATCCCCAAAGTTAAGGTCATTTGTCTACCACTAGAACTGCCCAGTGAGAAGAGCACCCATACATCTGACAAGGAGATGCTCACTGAACTGAGACAATCATTCCATTTTAAGAGAGCACTAAGTGCACCCCCCGGCTGCTTAGCTGAGAAAGGGAATAAACCCCCTACATGGCCACTGCTTTTACCAGCCCAAACCTGCCACCTGTCAACCCATCATGCTATAGGACCCAAATTCCATTCTGCCCTGGACCTACTTGGAACCAAATGGCATTGACAACTTTGCTAAGCACAAACAGTGGAAGCACCCAAAGAACACTAAAAATTGACGTGAGGACGAATTCCAGCCATGACCAAACATCTCCATGTAGTGATGGATCACCTATGGGAAAAAGATTTATTAGCTCAACAGGAGAAATGAAAAACCTGAAGACTCAATAAGGAATTCCTACTTTGTGACTATTCTTTTTTCATCACACATACAAGGGAGCTTCAAAAAGCTTGTGGAAAAATACCCATTATCTTTTAATTCCATTTTTCTATGAATTTTTTTAAAAGGTCCCTTCTATTTGTTTCTTGCTGAAGCTTCACTATTCCAAGTTCATATAGCTTTATTCTTAGTTATTGTTATTGTATGGAGTCCTGATGGCATAGTGGTTAAGTGCTTGGCTGTTAACTGAAGATAGGAAGTTCAGACCCACCAGATGCTTTTGGAGAAAGATGTGGCAGTCCACTTTGGATACCGCATGAGGCAATTCTACTTTGTCCTTCAAGGTCATTATGACTTGAAAGCAAGGTCGTTATGACTTAAAAGCAAGGGATTTCCCCCCCACCCCCCAAGTTGTTATTGGGTGTTGTCGCGTCTACTTTCAATTCGTAGCGACCCCATGTGACAGAGTAGAACTGTCTCATTGAGTTTTTGAGGCTGCATCTCTACAGGAGCAAATCACCAGGTCTTTCTTCTGTAATGTGGCTGGTGGGTTTGAAGTCAAATGCTTTATTGTTGCACCAGCACCCAGCAAATTCTGGTCACCATTCCAATTTGGATATGTGCTGCTTACTTTTAAATAAACTGCTTATATGACATTGACTGCAAAGTCCCAACCTCCATCTCTAGTAAACAGTAAAGGTATTATTACTTACCAATAATTTTTGCTGTTATAGACTGAAGTATAGGAATAAACACTTGATAAAACAAGAGGAGACTAAGCTAAAAGAAAAAAGTAATAAGACACATCAAACCCACCTTTAATAAGAGTTTAAAGTTTCAGTATAATTATTTTCCAGTTGGGAGTACTTTTTATTAAGGGCCTACCACTCTTCAACGATCACTATCTGTACCAAAATTTGATCAATTTCTACTTTGCAATACTTCTGAAAGGTACAAACCTGACACTGCCAATAAAACAGTGAGATTTTTTTGGGTCATAGAAGAACAGCACTTCAAATATGTCACACATCCTAAATGTGTAGTGATTTTTTAATTAAGTCTGAAACTAATGTCTAAAAACAGAGTATCTGGGACATTTGACCAAAATGAGTGGAATTAAATTAATTTCAAGACAAAGTACTCAAATTTCATTTAAGTCTGCACTGGTTCTTTGCTAACTTTTGGATATAGATTTCAATGGTACCCATTCTGGTAGATTGTTAAAATCAGATGCAGGGAGAAACCTTGCTCTTGCCCAACCACATTTGTCTGACCCCTCTGATCCCAATCACTAAGGTTGTACTTAGTGAATAAAATCCAGTTAATGTCAAGAGAAACTGTTAGCTACAACAGCATCAAAAATTATGACTAAATCACAGTGGAAGTGTTAGGGACAATCCCGGACACTAGATAACCAAAAGGCACCTAGAATTTGAGAAAAAGAACTTACCCAGAATACTCCTCCATTCCAAGCACAGCACTGGAAAATTCTACTAAAAATACATGGATCACTGAAAAAGACCACATGTAATTAGTTTAAAAGGCACATAGGTTATTTCCTTATTGTTATCAGTAGCTCTCCATTAGATACCTTTTAAATAAATACACTGTGGTGAAATATAAAACATTTGCGATTTCCACCATTTTTTATGTGTACAATTCAGTGACATTAATGATGCTCACCTTGCATCATCATGCTATGCCACTGTCACACTACCAGTTTTGTTAACAAAATACTTTTCAGCACCTAATGCCATCCTTGTGTGGTTCTGTGCATTAATGAGTCAAACTGCAAAGCCTTCTGAACCACAAGGTTGGCAGTTCAAGCTTACCAGCCACTCCTCGGAAACCTTATAGGTCGCAACCAACTCAACGGCACTTTACAACAACAACAATGTTGTCCCAGTGTTCTCCTAATGTCAATCAAGGAGAAGTGGGTAGGAAATATTTCTGGGGAACAAGCTTTCTTTAAAAAAAAAAAAATAATAAAATAAATCTGAATCTGAGGTTGAAAAAGATTAAAAGAGAAAGTCTAAGGTTTATATATCAATCAATAAATATACAAAGTTTTCATCGATTCAGTAGTTGTAGCTCTCTACTCATCATTCTGTTGTTTTTAAAAAATCAAGTATGATGACATTTTGAGTAAAGATTACTGCTAGACTCTAACTTAATTCAATGCAAATATATATATATTTAAATGTATACATTTAAAAACAAATCAGAACGTGTGTGTATATGTATTTATGTGTAAATATATACTGTTAAGTGCTGTAGAGTTGGTTCCAACCCACAGCTATCCTAATGGGGTTCAAGGAGCAACTGGTGGGTGTGAACCACTAACCTTGCAGTTAGCAGTCCAGTGCTTATCCTACAGTGTCACATCAGGACTCCATATATATGTATATTAACGGCCTATGAAATTTTTCTGGAAACCAAAATCTACCCAACCTACTGCCATACAGTCAATTCCAACTCATACTGACCTGTAGCACAGAGTAGGATCAGCCCACAGGGTTTCCAAGACAACAATCTTTACAGAAACAGACTGCTACCACATCTTTCTCCTGTGGACCCCTGGTGGGTTCAAAGCACCAACCTTTTGGTCAACATCCAAGTGCTTTAACCAGTGTGCCATTATAAATAAATTGTGGGATACTAAGCCCTGGTGGGGAGTTCTGGTGTGGCGCTGTGGGTTAATGTGCTGGACTGCAAAGTTGGTTTGAACCACAAGGTCGGAGGATCAAGTTCACAAGCTGCTTCTAGGAAACCCTATACAGGGTTGCTATGGGTTGGAAGGGACTCTACAGCACTTAACAACAACAAGCCTTGGTGAAGTCCTGGCGTGGTGCTGCAGGATAAGCACTGTACTGCTAACCATAAGGCCAGCAGTTCAAACGCACCAGCTGACCTTAGGGTCACTATAAGTCAGAACTGACTCAGTGACACTTAACAACAGCAACAAACCCTGGTGGTGCTATAGGATAAGCACTGGGCTATTAACCATAAATCAGCAATTTAAACCCAGCAGGAGAAAGGTGAGGCTTTCTGCTCTCATAAAGATATCCAGGCTTGGAAATCCTTTAGAGGCACAATGAGCTAGAACTGATTCAATGGCAGTGGATTTGGAAGACTCAAAAAAAAAAAAAAAGTGTCCTGATGGCACAGAAGTTAAAGCACTTGGCTGTCAATTAAACAATTCAAACTCACCAGACTCCATGGGAGAAAGACATGATAGCAGCTACTTCTGTAAAGATTATAGTCTTGGAAACCCTATGGGACAATTCTACTCTGTCCTATATAGAACTGTTATGTGTTCAACTTTATCACAATAGGTTTTTGATACTCTAAAAGTCATTTATGTATGACCTTGATTCTACTCTAAGATTTGGTCACTTTCCGAAGTACTTCTCCCTTTGATATTTTCTGATATCAGTCCACCTTCCTTACCGCTCTAATTTTGGCTCTATATTCTGGGCTCTCCTATGAGCCAGGGCACTACTTGCCCTTCTTCGACGCTGTTCCTCTCTCTTTTGCTGTATTCGAGCATCCAGCTTTGAGATGGTACAGATACCCCAGATGGAGTCCTTGATTCCCTAGAGAGAAGGAGATTAAGATTATGGATGAAAGACTTTCTAAAGTTACCTACAGTAAACTGAAAGAAGAGTGGAAACCATTGCACTTATTTTGTTGCAAAGCACAAGGGACCCTGTTGTTTTGTTTGACATGTTTTAAAAGTTTAAAATAGCCTCCAACCTATAGACGAACGGATAGCCCCTAAATACTCTTTATACAGATTTACCAGTTTAATATTTTGTCACATTTATTATCATTCTCATAAATATGCATGAATCATTTGAGAGTAGGTTGCTACATCATATTCCTTTAATTATTCAGTGAGTATTTATCAACAAAGATATTCTTCTACACAACCATAGCAGAGTTACCAATTGATGAAATTTAAGACTGAGACAAATACTTTAATATAAAGTCCATATACAAGGGGCTTTGGGAGGTTTCAAAAAATTCATTAAAAAATTGAATAAAAAATTTAAGAATTTTTCCATGAATTTTTTGAAACCTCCTAAAGTCCCCTTGTATCTGGTAAAATGGTTAAGTGCTCAACTGTTAACTAAAAGATTGGCAGTCAAATCTACCCAGTGGTTCCATGAGAATAAGACAATAAAGATTATAGCCAAAAAAACCACTAGGGAGCAGATTTTTATACTGTCTAATATGGTCACTGTGACTTAAAATCAACTCAACTGTACTCAACAACATCAGCAGTATCCAAGAACAGTCCATATGCCAACTTCTCCAACTGTCCCAATAATACTCTATGTCATTTATAAGTCTTTCGTGTATCAGTCAATAATCACGTATTGCATTTAGTGGTATGTCTCTTTAGACTTCTTCAATCAGGAACCATTTTAGTCTTCCTTTTTTGTATAATACAGACCAATTATATTATAGTATTTCCTCAATTTAGGCTGTTTCCTCATCCTCATGATTACTGTTGTTGTTAAGTGCTATCGAGTCAGTTCCAACTCATAGCAACCCTGCATAGGGTTTCCAAAGAGCAGCTGGTGGGTTTGAACCACTGACCTTGTGGTTAGCAGTCCAGTACTTATCCTCCAGTGCCACACTAGGGGTCTTCATGATTGTTGTTGTTAAGTGCTGTCGAGTCGATTCCGACCCATAGCGACCCTGTATAGGGTTTCCAAGGAGCAAATGGAGAGCTTGAACCACTGACCTTGCAGTTCAAACAACTTTGCAGTCTGACACATTAGCCCACAGCGCCACATCAGGACACCTCTTCATGTTAAATGTTTTTGGCGAAATTACCACAGAAGTGATGCTGTGTCCTTCAAGGTTTCACCTACATAGGCACACAATGTCTGTCTGCTCTTACTGGTGAATTTAACTTTGCACCAAGAATCTTGACTTGCAACTAACAAGCCATATGAGGAGACTCTTCTGAGACCATGCAGCTATCCCACTCACCAAATTTCCCCCATTAGCAGTCCTTGTCAAGCCAATCTTAAATAATAACATGGTTGCAAAAGTGATTTTTCAATCTCTCAACACTTTATCAATAATACGTTGTCGTTAACTGCCATTGAGTAGGTTCTAAATCAAAGCAACCCCATATAGGGTTTCTGAGAAATGGACAACTTATTGTCTTATTGCCCTCCCTTTTACGATTTCAGTATTAATTAATTGCCTACTGAATGCTCTGTATCCTAAATTCAAACTTCATAGACACAAAGATAAGCAAAAAAATTCTGGAAAGGACCAAGGCTGGATCAAGGATTGTTGTTGTTGCTGTTATGTGCTGTGGAGTCAGTTCTGACTCATAGCAACCCTGTACAGGATTTCCGAGGTTGTAAATCTTTATGGGAGCAGAAAGCCTCATCTTTCTCCTGTGGAACAGCTGGTAGTTTCGAACTGCTGACCTTGCGGTTCACAGCCCAATCGTAACCACTACGATACCAGAGCTCCTTGGATCAAGGATAGGAAACAAATAAATATATTTACTGTAAAAATGTGAAAAGTACTGTATGATAAGTGTAATTCATATAAGACAGAAGAAGCATGGCAGTAGGTGGAGGAGTGTCTTTAAAGAGTGTGTTCAGACTATAAAGACAGTGACAGAGACACTTTTCAATGATACTCAAAGATCTCCAACAGTAGAAGTGTTTCTGTTAGTGCTACAAATACCAAAATTGATCCATTTCAAATAACTGTATTCATTTACTTATTCATTAATTCATCCATCCACCTATCTAGATATTGAGTATTTTCTATGAGCCAGTCATTAATTATATTGAAATATTCAAGAAATTTACAATGTAAGAAGAGTATTACAATGTAAAAGTACATACCAAAAAAGTGACACTATAATTAAATAAGCAATTTTTTAAAACTATAAGGAGCTCTGGTAGCCTGATAGCATAGTGGTTACGAATCGGGCTGCGAGCCACAAGGTCAGCAGTTCGAAACTACCAGCTGTTCTGCAGGAGACAGATGAGGCTTTCTGCTCCTGTAAAGATTTACAGCTTCGGAAACCCTGTACAGGGTCGCTATGAGTCGGAACCGACTCCATGGCACATAACAACAACAACATAACCTAATAAGGTAAGACTATTGGTCTCTGTCCCTGTTCAGAGGAAAGAAGAGTGATGCAAATCAAAGATACACAGAAAACATTAGTCCAGTGAACTACTGAAGCATATGAATATCTGTCTCCCTGACCCTAAGACCAGAAGAACTATATGGTACCTGACCTGACTATCACTATCATTTTCTCTGAAAGGATCACATTAGAAGGTCTTGGATAAAGTGGGAGAAAAATGTGGAACAAAACTCAAAATCATAAAGATGGACTACTCTTACTGGTAGTGTAGTGGTTATGAATTGGGCTGTGAACCTCAGTGTCAGTAGTTCGAAACTACCAGCTGTTCCACGGGAGAAAGATAAGGCTTTCTGCTCCTGTAAAGATTTACAGCTTCGAAAACCCTATACAGGGTCGCTGAGTTGGAACCGACTCCATGGCACATAATTACCACCACCACTGGCTGGACACCGGAAAAAGATAAGGCTGTCTGCTTGTGTTAAGATTTATAGTCAAATCACTCAATTGCAGTGTTTTTTGGGGGATGGGAGGAGGTAGTGGTTACTGGTCAGATACAGACAAGTGGAATCCCTGTGACTATGGCCTTTAGTCACCCTTTAGGTCTAAAATGAACTCATCTTCATGGCTCAATTTTCAGCCATATTATAGACAGGTCTACAAGAAGAACAGTAATAACTAGGGAGGTATGCACACCTTTAAATAATCAATCATTTGAGATGAAAAGGGCAGCATTTATCAAGGACAAAGTTCATAAGGCTTAGAAAAGAAGGAGGAATGAAAATAGGAAACACAAGGAGAGTAGGATAAATGATACTTCATTGTAGGGATTACAATCAGTGAAAACAAACAAACAAACATGTATGTATTATTGAATGAAAAACTGACACCCTCTGTAAACCTTCACCCAATTCACAACAAAGTTAAAAATAAGTAAGTACTATGGCACGTTTATAAGCACTGGACAGCTAATCATAAGGTTGGATGTTCAAACCCACCAGCAGCTCCTCAGTAACTCTACACAGAGTTGCTATCAGTCCCAACCAATTCAACTGCACTTAACAACAACAGATTTAAGAAGGCCAGTGGCACAGTTGTTAAAGTATCAGCAGTTTGTACCCTAAAGCAGCTCTGCAGAAGATATGGCAGCCTGCTTCAGAAAGATTTATAGCCTTAGAAACTCTATGAGACAACCTATTTTGTATTTGAAGTCATTACAAGTCAGAATCGACTCAATGGCAGTAGGTCTGAGTATAACAGATTTATGTCCAAAGTAGGGTGGAACAATCTCATGAAGAAACAGAAAAAGGCACTCTGGAGCTGAAGGACAACTACATTAAAGGATGGCATTCTCACTTTAGCAGTAATAGCTACAATACAGAGAAATGGGCAAATTTATGCACTATCTGCTAGCAGAAGTATAAATTGGCAAGGCAGTGTGCACCTAACCTTTTGTCAGTAATCTTTAGTCTCATTTTGCTTTTAATGTTTAAACTTCCCCCAAATGGCTTTTTTTACTCAGAAAACTCAAATTTGTAAGATAGGTAGTTCAAAAAATCTGAGGGCTAAGATAATATGATACCTACTTTTGAATACACTTTAGTAAGGTTGACAACTGTTAACAGCATATTATAGAATTGATGCAGGGATAGTATTTTATAGCACAAGAATGGTAAGACAAGGAGGTAAGGATGCTGCAAGGAGATCATATTGCATAAAGTATCTTCAACACTTCTAAGATATTCTTTCATTTCTCCCTCTCTTTTTCATATGTAATAATGTTTCTAAATTTTCATATAAAAGAACCCATCACACTCAGAGGTGGTATCTTTCATGCTTCTGAGGGTATAGAGGGACTACAACTAAGGTGTGAGACTTCAGATAACCACTAAAAGTAATGGAATTGTGTACTATTGGTAATTTGGGTGACTAGTTCCTTGTGGGGCATTTTCTTAAGCATCCTCATTATCTGAACCTTGTAAAATGGAAGAGAAGAGCTCTGGAGAGTCAATATTACAGATACTCACTAGACAGGTGTCCCAGTATTTCTGCAAGATGTAGGATTAATTATATTGAAAACTTGTATGTGAAGGATATAACAAATATGATTATTCCAGAAATACCTAGAAACAAGATGTACTCACTTTGGCAAGGTCCTGAAGAAAGGTTTTGACACTGTCTGCCATCTCTTCACCATGCAAACTATCAACTACACTGAGAGAGAAGCGCGGCAAAAACTCTCATCATGAAAGGCCTAGAAACACATGAACACAATGGGAGAAAAATATTTAAGTTATGCACATTTCTACATGGCAGTGTTTTCTACATACTTGTAGCTCTAATAGGAGCACTGAAGGTTCTAGAACTTCACTTGATAACAGCAGGGTGAACTGAGCAAGGTTATACCTGTAGTTAAAACCTGAAATTGCCCCCAATTTTTTTTGAGTCTTGATTTCCCTAGTTAATCCCTCCTATGCACTCCTGGTATAGCACTGCAGGACAAGCATTGGACTGCTAACTGCAAGGTCAGTGGTTCAAATCTATCAGCTGCTCTTTGGAAACTCTATACAGTGTCACTATGAGTTGGAAGCAACTCGATGCCACCTAACAACAAACAACACAAACTCCTAGCACTTTCTGAGGATGTAGAGAAGTACTAGACTACAAACTAAAGTCAGCAATTTGAGTCCACCAGTGGATCCATGGGAGAAAGATGAGGCTTTCTGCTCCTGTAAAGATTTTCTGTTACTGTTGTTAAGTGCCATCAAGTTGGTTCCAACTCATAGGGTTTCCAAGGAACAGCTGGTGAGCTGAACCTCTGACTTTGCGGTTCAAGCCGACTTTGTAGTCCAGCACGTTAACCCGCAGCGCCACACCAGAAAATCTTATACAGGGTCACTGAGTCGTAACCAACTCAACAACACTTAATACAGGTGGGTGATACCTATGTTTCCTTCTCCTCTTAATTGATATTTATGCTTGATTTATACCTTCTAACCTTTGGGTCCACTACTCATCTGTGAGTGTATTGTACTATAGTGGTTTGTGCATAACTGTGTTGCTGAAAGCGATTTTAAATACCAACTGGGTCAACCATGGTGGATAGGTTTCAGCTGAGCTTCCAGACAAAGACAAATCGGGAAGAGGTAGACCACTTCTGATTGTGCTGTTGTTGTTAAGTACTGTGGAGCTGGGTCTGACTCACAGTGACCCTGTACAGGGTTTCTGCGGAGTGGCTGGCGGGAATGAATTGCGCCTACAGCGCCAGTATATGAGCTACTCAGGCTGGAAGGCACTCAAAATACAGTTGGGGAAGAACTGCCTCCTCAAAGTAGAGTTGACCTTAATGAAGTAGATGGGAGTAAAGCTGATGGGTCACAACTCAAAATGAGAAGAAACAGCTGCAAATATCCTTTAATAATTTGGACCTGGGACTTACAAGGTGTGAATCTAGGAAAACTGAAAGTTGTCAAAATGAAATGGAATGGCATTGGCCATCTGATTTTAGACAATCATATCGTTTTAAACAAATTTAAGAGGAATGGGCTTGCAGTCATCATCAAAGAGTATCTCAAGATCTGTCTTGAAATACAATGCTGTCGGTGATAGGATGCCAATACGCCTTCAAGAAATTAGTTAAATTATTAAACTTATTATTACCGTTATTATTGATATTTAACCACTAAAGCCAGTGATGAAGAAATAGAAATATTCTACCAACTTTTTTAGTCTGATATTGATCAAACATGTGATCAAGATGCATTGAGAATTGATGGTGATAGGAATGCAAAAGTTGGACATAAAGAAGAATGATCAGTAGAAAATATAGCCTTGGTGATAGAAATGATGCTAGAGATCACATGATAGAATTTTGCAGGACCAATGATTTATTCATTGCAAATATCTTTTCTCAATAACATAAAAGGCAAATGAACCATACCAGATGAAATATACAGGAATCAAACAAACTATATCAAAAAGACTAAGTATCTAAGATGGCGGATCAGGAAGACGTGCAGTGAGGAGCTCCGCCACTAACAAAACAGAATATTGGACCAAGCAGGCTCAGGGAATGGTGCTAGAACTCAGAACCACATATAAAGGAATATTTAGAAGTTTGGAAGTCTTACAGCTAGGGCAATTTGTAGCAGAATCAAGAAATCCATTGCTTTCTAATTCAAGACCCTCAGCTACTCCCGGAGCCGCCATCTTGGGAGAGATCAAGTGGGGGAAAGATCAGAACAGCCATGAATGTCTGACAGAACTGTGGAGATACAGGTGTGGACATTCTTTTTTTGTTATCTGTCCATTGGTCTCTTGCTGTCTGCACACCTCCATTCTGGTGACTAGAGTGGATGCCTGGGTGAATGGACACCCCACCCCCACCCCTGGAGGGTTCTACTACACATGCACACAGACCTCCTCGAAATTTAAATTGACAGTTTCCACTTAAAACCAGACGGCCACCACTTGTCTGCCAGTTTGTCATACTGTGGTGGCTTGTGAGTTGCTGTGATTCTGAAAGCTATGCCACCGGTATTTTAAATACCAGCTGGGTCACCCATGGTGGACAGGTTTCAGATGAGCTTCCAGACAAAGACAGACTAGGAAGAAAGAGTGACAAACTACTTCTGAATATTTAGTCACTGAAAACATTATGAATAGCAGAGAAATACTGTCAGATATAGTGCCAGGAAATGAGCCCCTCAGGTTGGAAGGCACTCAAAATGTGACTGAGGAAGAGCTGCCTCCTCAAAATAGAGCTGACTGTGATAATGCGAATGGAGTAAAGCCCATGGGATCTTCATTTGCTGATGGGGCACAACTCAAAATGAAGAGAAACAGCTGTAAACATCCTTTGAAAATCGGAACATGGAACGTATGAAGTACGAATCTTGGAAAATTGGAAGTTGTCAAAAATGAAATGGAATGCATGAACATCAATATCTTAGGCATTAGTGAGCTGAAATGGACTGGAATTGACCATTTTGAATCTGACAACCACATGGTATAATATAATGGGAATGACAAATTAAAGAGGAATGGTGTTGCCTTCATCATCAAAAAGAACATATCCAGATCAATCATGAGTTACAACGCTGTCTGTGATAGGATAATATCCATGTACCTACAGGGAAGCCCAGTTAATAACATTATTATTCAAATGTATGCACCAACCACTAAAGCCAGTGAAGATGAAATAGAAGAATTCTACCAACTTCTTCAATCTGAAATTGATTAAACATGCAATCAAGATGTATTGATCAGGAAGAACAAACAAGATGGCGGATCGAGTGGAAGTGCAGTAAGGAGCTCTGTTAGCAACAACACAAAATACCCTACCAAGCAGGCTCAGGGGATGGTCCCAGAACTCTGAACCACATATAAAGGAATATTTTTAAGGTTAGAAGGCTTACAGCTGGGGGAATTTGTGGCAGAACCAAGAAATCCATTGCTTTCTAGTTCAGGATGCTCAGCTGCTCCAGGAGCCGCCATCTTGTGTGAGACCAAGCGAGGGAAGGATCGGAGCAGCCAGACACCTCACAGAACCATGGAGATAAAGGTGTGGACGTTCTTTTCTTTTGATATCTGTTCATTGGTCCCTTGCTGTCACCTCTATTCTGGTGACTATAGGGATGCCTGAGCTAGTAGACACCCAGCGCCACCCTCGGAGGGTTCTACTACGTATGCGCACAGATCTCCTCGAAATTTAAAGAGACAGTTACCACTTAAAACCAAACTGCCACAGCTGTCCCTGAAGTGTTCATAACTAGAAAAAAGGCCTGAATGGGGATTGTGAAGTGGGACAAGCACACAAAAAAGAAATAGGCCGAAAATTAAACCCTAAGTTACGTCAAAACGACCAACAGTGGCATCTTGAAATTTCTCAAGAAGAAAAATTAAAAGGGAAGCCCATTTCCCGATTACATCTACCTGGAGGCAATCAGAAAGCATAAAAAAAAATACCAAAATACATACCCATCTGAGTATTAAGGCCACAGATAACCCGAGTATTCCCAAAAAACAGAAGATGACCATATCTGCACTTGTCCATAAACGAAATAAAGTGACTGAGGCAAATGAGCTGGGAAGTAGACCTACACTCCATATTGGAAGATGGGCAGGCTTTGGAAATGCCTGAGAAGGAATTCAGAAAAATAATTATAAAATCTATCAAAACACTATACAATGGAGTTGAGAAAAATAAGGAAGAAGTCAGGAAAGCACTACAGGAGCAATCAATTAAGAAAAATGCAGCACTGGAAACAATTCAAAACCTACAGAAAGAGGTCCAAAGGATTAATAATAGAATATCAGAAATGGACAATACATTGAAAGGGCAAAGGAGAAGAACTGAAGAGATAGAAGCCAGAACTAGTGAGCTGGAAGATAAATCTCTCAACATTATTAAGATAGAAAAGCAAACACAAAAAAGAATAAAAAAATCTGAAGAAGGCCTAAGATTCATGTTGGACAACATGAAGAGGAATAACTTAAGAATTATTGGCATTCCAGAACAGGAACAATC